GGCCACTACACTCCAGTCTGGGCGACAGAGTGAAACTCCAACTCAAAAAAAAAAAAAAAATTATTCCCATGGGGCAGAAATTGAGTACTGGAATTAGTGGGTAAAAAGGCATGAATATTTGATACATTATTTTCCAAAAATGTTGTATCAGTTTACCCTACCACCACACTGATATCCAGCATTGAACATTCTTATTTTTTAAAAAATCACTGATAAGATGTGTGAAATGGTATTCCGCTGTTCTCTTACTTTGCATATTTATTTACTAGTGAGATAAGACATATATATCTATATATATATATACTGATAATACATTATCCTCTATAAAGTGTCTGTTTATGTCCTTTGTCTTATCTATTAAATTCCTAGTATTTTCTTATTATGTATGACTTGTTTACATAATAAATATATTAAAAATGTATCGTATTTGTTGCGGGTTTGTTCTCAGTCCATTGATAAAAACATCACATTTAAATCGAATTGTCTTATCTTGTAAAAGATGTGTAAATTTGACACAATATGACTAGTAGCACAATTTTAAAAAGAGCTATTGATACACACAAATGTCATCATTATCATTTCTAATCGTGTTTTAAAAGATCTCATATTTAAGCTTATATGCTATTTTAAAAGGAGAAATAAGTTTGTTTTCATATCAAAAAACTATAAGAGAGCATCTAAATGAGTTAAATTTTACCCATCATCCCTAATGCTTTGTAAGACATTTTCTTTCAATTCTAGGAGTGGAAATTTAGGACAAATCAATGTGGTTTTTTTAAGTGTGAAAATAATTTCTAAATAATTACAGTGAAAGGTTAACAGTGACAATTACTTTGTACCCAAACTATATTATTTGGCTGCAGCAAAGTGGAATTGAAGATATAATGAGATGTTTCTTGGAGGAATTTTACTTTGTATGTTTCCTACAATTGAAGGATCTGGCAAGTATGACTACTTGTAATCAAGGAGAATGTATGACTAAAAGAACATTATTTTCTTCCTGCAGGTCAACCAAACCTCCTCAGTACTAAAATTGTTCCAACGTTGAAGCTCTCTGGAGGAGATCATCATTACTGAACTGTAGCAGATGCTGCAACTTGTCGAACATATATAAAAATTTTCATCTTTCTGGACACCTTAATGATACAGAATAGTCGTTTAGTTTAGGCCAGGTTTCCAAAGGCAAAATAAAACAGACTTCTAGATGGTTAAGTTAAGGCAAGAAGTAGGGACTTCGTATTTGACATGAATTCACCAGATGCTTGCTTTAATCCTCTACTCTCCTTTGAATATAGATTCTTGTCTCTTACTGTTTGGGGGGGGGGTTGGTGGTGGAACAGGTTACTCCAGAAAGCTAAAGTTGCTTTGCATATTCAGGTATAACGTCTTTAAGGTTTGGACTCTGAGCCAAGCATCTAAAACACGGGTTTTCAAAGCAAGAGATAGTAAGGAATAAAACCTATAATATTTCTTATTTTAGTTTGCCAGTTTAGCTGAGGAAAAAAAGAACACAAGCATTGTAGCAGGCATTTTACACCTATAGACTAAGGTAAATGGATAAACAGCCACAGTACCTTAAAAATAGATTTCACCTAATGAAGAAATATGTCTGTCTTTAATGGGGTTTGCCTTTAAAAGGAACTTTCTGTGACTCCTGTTTTAAGAAAGCAATTGTTTGAATTGAGTAGTCAGTGATAATAA